GAGAGAGAGAAAGAGAGAGAGAGAGAGAGAGAGACAGAGACCAGCACAAAGCCATCAGCTGCTGGTGTGTGGTATTCTCCGACCTTAAGCAGGTGTAGACCAATGGCATGAGATGTGTGCCTCCACCAAACTCCATCGGACTTTAGTGTCATACAACAAATCCATTGCACCAGTTGGCAATGAAAGTGGCATACAACAAAGTGGAAATTCTTTCTCTCTCTCGCTCTCTCTCTCTCTCTCTTTCTCTCTCTGATCATTTTCTTCTGCTGTGTTCTTTTCTGCCTTGCCTATATATATATATATATATATATATATATATATATATATATATATATATATATATATATATATATATATTGTAGGACAAGTATATTCCTAACCTTCTTTTTACCTCCTTCAAATGTGTTTTGGATTGAAACCTCTCTCCCTTGTAATTATATAGAATGATAATGCTGAAGGTAACTTTGAGATATAAAAAAAGATTGGGCTTCCACTCTATTATTTAGTGAGAGAAATATCTTCTCCTATAGTGCAACTGAGGAAGAATATGGATTATAGTTATGTAAATTGGCTTAGTGATGATATCAATGGCTATCGAATCCAATAACCACTTCAAGTTTCTAATATTGGGAAGTATCATATATGAGATCATACTTAATATTATTTTGATTGAAGAGTGGGAGACTGACATAGAAAGAAGTCAACTGTGACTGTTCTCCTAAAAGAAGGTTTTCAAGTTCATCATTATATAACTTATCCCGCATTTAATAATATCTTACAACTCAAAAGGTTCATATAGTGATGATCGGTGTAAATGCGAAACCTAAAGAAATCTCGACTCTCCAATTATGAAGCTCCGATAAAAGACACATTTAGTATCATATTGATCGAAGAATCGAAAAGCTAAGGCCTATTAAAAAGACAATAAAAGTATACTGTATCGTACATGCTGGTTCAGTAGACGACCAAAACAGATACTAAACTGAGATTGAAAACCTTGGATTGAACTACAAGAGATCTTACGATCTATCATTTATTGGACACCAGGTAGTAGTACATACGGTAGTATGTTTCTACATGAGTTCTTCGTATGAACAAAAATGCTGCTTTCTGCACACCGACGACTCGTCTTTCCACCCGACAATGGCCGACTCATTTAAACCTTCTTCCTCCAAAGTGGATGGTCACGACCACTAAAAACCTTGTGCATTGTTGAACTCCTGATGTAAACATCTCTCGGAATGCTACCACCACAAAGGAGATGATATGTTTCTTTTCTCCTTAAGGATAAGCCATCGAGATGAGTGCTTGCAAAAATTAGTATTCCAACAAAAAATGGTGGAATTCAGAGAAGCTGGAGCTCCCTTTGAATCCAACATGTACGATGACGAAAGACGATGCAGTAAAGTGATCTGCATCTTATGGCATCACCTGATTTCTCTCTAATCCGTTATGGGAACGAGATTTCCTCCCTCTACTCCATCACAATAGATCTTCTTTTGGCTTTGGATTCATCATATTGCTGCGTGCTGTTATAGAGATGTCACCCTAAACATCAGTGACCACATCAGTCTCGTGTCACGCTGCACTTCAAAACCGGTGCATCCCCTCTTCCCGCAACCTTGACTTGCTTGCATCCCATGTCCACTTCCTCGCCGTATTGGCTTTACAGATCAGCATGTCAATCCAAAACTGCATTGCATCTCTAAAGGTGGAACACAGCTTTCTTTTTTCTGACTTTGCCAAGTTGAAGGATAAGTAATCTGTCACAAAGCAGCAAAATCCCTGACGGCAAGTCCACCTATGGCCGCTGCACAATAAAAGGATCCTCTGGTGGCTCTGCTACTGGAGCGGCAGCAATGGTGGATACGAAGGGGATGACGAGCCTTCGTCTGCTGTTGATCTCGTTGGCCTTGGCTCACCTTATCGCTGCATCTCATGCAGTTCCATCGACAAGTGATCATCTTCTGCTAATCCCCACTCCTGTCGTGAGACATCAACCTCATCCTTCTTCTTCATGATTTGTTCTTGTGTGTCCTCCAGGGGATGGAAGAATGCTGAGAGGATGCAGAAGCGTTGGTGATGCGGTTCAGGTAAGTGAAACTTCAAGGCCTATATATATTCTAGCATTCGGATGATTTTGATGAGCAGATTTGTTGTTGCTGTGTATCATGAATTCGATGAAAACCATCAACCAACAAGAATAAGAGCTGAAGATGGGAACATGGCAGGAAGAATTGTCAAAGACAACATACTCTCGACTGGTTTAGGGTAGAATGAAAAAGGTATTCTCTGAACTAAACCTATCACCTTCTCGACTGATGCAGGTTATCAACGAGGATGAAGAGGCCAAAATCCAGAGGATGGACATAGAGATCAATGACTATCCAGGATCGGGTGCTAATGACCGCCACACTCCAAAGCCACCAGAATAGATCGGCGATGTCGATGATCATATTCACAAGTCGAATCTTCTTGGCTTCCTTTGACATTTGCCATTAGATGGATTCTTGCAATTGCCATATATTATACTGAATGAATAAATTTGGATACTTCAATTTTGTTGCTTCCTTTTTTTTTTTTGGGAGAAAATTGCTTCCTAATTCCTATACACAAACACAGAGAGAGAGAGAGAGAGAGAGAGAGAGAGAGAGAGAGACTGAGCTTTAAGAAACCCTTCTCGGACACTTGAAAGCATGTAAGGGAGACAATGAGATCAAATGAATTGAATTTGTTGCAACATGGATGAAGTTGCAATGTTTGTAGAAAACTTTTAATTTTCTCTTATATCATTCTAATGTCAGAAAACTTCCATCAATACCTTTTAAATCATAAACCATCCTCCATATTATTAATATACTTGTGGCAGTCAGATCGACGAGAAAATGATGCTACTTATAATGGCCGACAGGCTGATTTCAAACAAATTACGATGACAACTTGAACAATTAATACGGTAAGAGAGAAAAAAAAAAGGGAAAAAAGAAAAAACTGTAGCCATACAGTTACAAAAGGACACATATGGTTAAAGCACGAACTTCAATGGCATACCTTGCAACAGTGACCGAGAATAGACATGCGTAAAACAGGACATTTTCCACGGCACAAAGCCATTCTTGAAGACAATTGCATGAATTATGTTCAAGATTATCAAACCGGTTTCGGCAGCCGATGGCTATAACACCAAAAAATAATTAAAAAAATCAAATACCGACCCGCACTGATCTATATGGTCTGGTACGCGGACTTGGTTGAACCTGTGAATACCGGTTGGTATGTACTGGTCCTATCTTATTCATTCCATCCTGGTAGTCTGACGTACCATCGACCATGCTCATACATAAATCAGAATTCGGATGAACAGTGTTGGCGATAAAAGAAGTCTGCTTTAGTCGCTTGGATTGTGCCAAAAAGTCCGAAGATTTCAAGACCTCCTGAGATTTTATAACTTCATCAACGTTTTCCTCAAAATCGGCAGAATTTTTTCTCTTTGACCCCGGGTGCAAATTCAATCCTGCAAAACAATGCAACAATCATGGGAACATGAGTCACAATAAGGGGTTCTGTTACTGCTACCGTTGACGTTATGACACACAGACACACAATACAAAATCTTGCAGTTCTACATAAAGTTTGAGCTTATTACCACTAAACGTGTTGGATATGCTGGGTTGTGCTTCTAGATTGCCACAATAACATATATCCTGTGAGCTGCAATCATTGGATTGATTGATGCTGCATCGTGGCATAAAAATTTTAAGATAAGTAATCAGATAATCTACACACAGACAAGCGACAGCAGATTATTATTAAGATAAGTAAAGAAATTTAAAAAGGGAGGAATAACTGAGTTGCGCAGTCCAAGAATCATGATAAAATTATCAGTGCTAACTCAAATGTAGTAAACTCAAATGAAAAAACATACTGCATGCATATCAGAACAAAACCAACAAACTAAGCCAAACATGGTTGGCCAGTAATTATACTCATTCTTCACTAGTAAGCGTCAGAATGGTTTTCTTATCATTGTGTACCTCTTCTATTTCATTTCTTTGCATGCAGAGTCCCATATCACTTAAACACAGTATCCATATTTCTATGTGCTGATGTTTTGGAATTTCTGCACAGTTTTCCTGCAAATTGATTATTTAACAGACACCTATATCCAGAGTCATCCGCATATGCGTAAGAATATTACAAGAAGTCATGTTAAGCTTCCCTAAAAGATTTGCCAATGCTAGATAAAACCAGCGCAGAGCTTCAACAATGTAAACTGCAGCCTCACTCATTACTAGCCCGACTACTAAAAATAACTTCTCAATCATATTAAAAATTTAAAACCATAAAAGAGTAATTAGAAAAGCATCTAAAACCAGCACCACTTGATTAAAATTTCAGTTCTACAGTCATCCCCTTCCACACAGTTACCACCTGTTGATTAAAGCAGCAATCAAGAAGACACATTTATACATTCAAATGAAAACTTATGGAACATCTTTATTTCTTTAACAGATAATTAGCTCCTTGATTATAACACTACTCTTGTTGAAATCAAGAAAGTCAAAGATATTTAATGGAATTTTGTGAAATTATTTTATTTTATAATATACGGTTCAAATAATAATTCCCACCAAGACATAATCAAATAGCCAGGAACTTGTTAGTCCACCATAGCAGGGTTGCTCTTTCCTTGGCTCTCTAGATATTCATGATAAAGAATCCATCAGTTACAACATCTGATGTCAGGTACATGATTCTTTATACATTTAGACTCAGGTACATTATGTTTTGTTAATTAATGAATTCTACAAAATGCAGGATAACTAGTCAACCTAAAAGCCACAAATAATTTTTTATTGTTTCTGATAAAGTCATCATGGTTCATTATCTGTTTCTACTCGCACCACTGCCCTAAAATACTTTCAGCTAATTTAATGCAAGTAAACAATTTATATAGTAATCCCTGAAAGTATTTATATTTGTGCATACACAATTTCAAAGTCAGCATTTGCATCTCTTCCGAAAAAAAAAAATATCATATTTACATGTATAATCCTCTATACAATCTCCACATATGGTTTTCACTAATCTGAGTTATATCCTTGTTTTTATTTAACATAAAAATTTAAACCTCTTGGTTGGCATGGAACGTAAGATTTGAAGGAACATGTCGCAACTTATTGTCAAACTTTCTCTATTTCTTAATACAAAATGTTTCATGGCTATACTTCCCCGGTTAGTGATAAAAATCTAATGTTTGGAGAAGTTAACTAAAAGGGAATTCCTTAATATACATAAACCATTTTGAATGGGCAATGGCGTGACTATCTAGACTACAAGGGAATATATGCATATGCCTAATTCACAAGGTACATATACAAAAATGCCCTCAAGTGGTTTGTACTCTTCCTTATTGTCCTCTTATTCAGATGATGTATCATTGGATACGACTGGGTCACCTTTTGCCACTAATAAATGGCAAAGAAGTCCTCCGAAAACCATGTTTTACAAGATTGACCGATCCTAAAACAGATCCAAGATAAGTTGGGTTGTATCTGACACTGAGAGCATCAATTTTTAATGAAATCTCCCAAACTCATAACAGTCAAGACCAACCATAACACAGCGCATTAATTCTTATTAGAGATTGATGAGGTCCATTACTAGTGTGATTACTCTAACCTGTGAAAAATTGTCATCTCTGGAGTGGGCCCTGCACAATTTCCCTCTTGGGTTCAAACCACAAAGTACACCTCTTGGAGAAGAGTGACATTTGAATCACTATGAGGCCATAGCTTTTTGACTTTCCAGCCCCACGTTAGGGTGTTAGTGCCTCTTTGGACCCTTTGGTGGGTGACATCTAATAATGTCCACCACATGTCATCACTGGTGTGGGAGTAAGTCTGCACTAGAGTGTGCCCCATATGATTTTATTCTTTCGGGTGGATCTCAAAAGGCGACTCCAGTTAGAGGATTAAGTTTTGGCAATATACGAGGCCTTGGCTCTCTAGCTTTCGAACTAACTTGGGACCGAATTGACCTCATCAGATTCCAATTAGCCAAACTAGTTTTGGCTAAGTCACCAAATGTTCAAGTCAGTCCCTGACAATATCAACATCCGTAACTTTCTCAGCCTAAAAAGAAGCACATGCTCCAATTGTCATCCAAATAACTTAGTCCAATTGCAATCCCATGGCTCATCATGAATGTGGTCCTAATCTTCTGAAACTTGCTAAAGAGAGATTTTCAAAATTAAAAAAAAGAAAGAGAGGACAAGCTGGTAAGTCCTCTCCAGCAATGGACCTAGTGATTGTTGATGCCTTGAAGCCACTTACCACCAAACCCAATGGTTGACCTATATCTACTTCTTGTGGTTTCCATTCTAAGCCAAGAAGAAACAGATCTCCTCCAATAATTATGTTCTTCCCCAAAGCTACCATTGTTCTAGGGTTCATCTAAAGTGTTTGTTTTTTGGTTTACTTTCGATATTTTCCACTGTTCTGGATATTGGTGTCAGCTATATAACTCTAGTGAGTGTATGTTAAATGTTTTTCACAACTGCGCATCAAGCCTGGAAAAGGAGTGAATTTTGTTAGGTAGCTAATAACCAACACAATTTTTGCCAGTCTGTAACAACATGGATATCTAGATAACAATATTGGCTTAATGATAGAAAATGATTCATATAGTCAACAGCAAATAGCTGGAAAATTATGGTTTCTTGTCACTGTAATGCCATTGCTTGAGTAGATTAATGACCAAATTTCCAAAGCTTGTTAGGTAAAACCTAAATATGAAGAGAAAATATAACAATATCAATATTTGGGTTAACAAGCTCTTATTTGAATCAAAGAACTGCAATTCTTGTTCATATGCCAGGTATGAGAGCTTAGAGTGTCCATTATAATCCATCTCACAGTTCCATATCCATGTAACGTCAGACTTGGGTAGCAACATGACAGTAGATAATATGCAAAAAAAGACAGCTTAAATGGAAATATACTATTAAATAGTAGCATGTACCATTAAATAAGCATAATACCAATAATCCAGACAGCTGAAATTGAAATACAAAACGAAGTTCCAATCATATGATGTAAGCCTAATAATATACCAACATGTAAAAGATGAAATCATTTATAGTACATAATATGCATAAAAGACAAACCTGTACATGTGCTCAACAAAATCATCAATAAGAACAGGCCAAGCACCTAAAAGAATAAAAAAATGAATTATCCCTGCTTAATTATTTCAAATTGCACGTGGGAAACAGAGTTTAAACAGCATTGTTGCCATAATTATACCAAGATAAGATGATACTAATATACACTTACCTCTTGGATCATAGCCTTGAAGATCTTCATTCACGCATCGGCTAAAAGCCAGGAGTTGTTGCCAAGTATCCTCAGATATATTATGCCTCTGGTGTTTCTGAGCTCAATAATCAAAATGAAAAAGGAAAAGTCAAGGACTTCAATGCAATGACTACCAACAAGTTCTCTCATAAATAAGAGTATGTTTAGACTCTTCCAGACAAAAAACCACTTCCACTTTGCTTACTTTAAGATAGCACTTTATTCCCATATTTAAAATTCCATCATTTAGCTCAGAGTTCAAGTTCAATATACTTTACAAACAAACCTTAGTATTGTATATTTGCTACTAGAGGAATGTATAACATGGTAAAATCTGAACTTATGTATCCAGTTTTATCTTTTCCTTGTATTGTTCTTCATGTATGCACACAAAGTTTAAATGTCATTTACCAATGAATCAATTTATGTCCTAATAAGTTCAGTTGAAATAAAATTATAAGTTTTAGTTTTGAATTCTCAATAACTCTAGATTTTCCTGGTTCCATTGTTTCCTACAAGAAAATCAATTCTTCAACTGACAATCATATAAACCAACTCAAGCCCCTTTTTCTGCATGCATTTATGCACTTCAAGAACGTATATTTGAACTAGAGATCCTTTGCCTTGCTGATTTACAATAACTAGTCCTCAATTAGTTACCACCTCAAGGTCAATGCAATAAAGATGCTTCTAGATGGCATAGTAACCAAATCCAGCACTTTTTCACAAAGCATCTAGGAATTATAAATACCACCAGATTGCAGTTCAACTGAAGTATTGGTAAAGGTTTATCTTCATGATTGTCCTACATAGTTTTTGAGCAACACCACCAAATGTCCTAAGGATGGACATGCCAATATGTAATTCATAACTGCATTCACTTAGCAGAACATGAAAACAAATTACAAATCAAAAGTGAGAAAAAGAATGATAATGAATATTCAGAAATGAAACAGCATATTGAACACTGATGTCTTGGAGACCAACTAAAGAAAGGCCAAAAGACGATATTGAAGGTCTATGCAACTTTTATGTAGTGATCATGTGTGATATTTTCATACCTCAACAAAATTACACCATCGGTCCAGCATACGGAACCTTCCTTTCAAAACCAACCTCCATGCTGTTATGGCCCTATTCACAGCTGAAAATATGTGGAAAGAAAGAGTCAGATAATGTACAACATGGCAAAGAACACCAAGTTACAAATATAGCTACTCAAAATAGTTCACAGAAATGATCTTACTGATATTCTTCTGGCTGTTTTCACGACAAATGAAGAAGACAAAATCATAAAAGCAACTGAACTTAAGAGAATCGGCCTACAAAATCATTACAAGCAACAAAAAATTAAAATGGCAAACAGAAATGCAATATACAAAGGATATAACTTATAAATCCACACTCACAGACAAGTCAAGGCATGTCATGAGGTTGTAGATGTCACTGAATATTGTCTCCCTAAATCAAAAACCAGAAATTTATTAGAAAGAAAGTGAAGCATAAATAAAATAACTAATGCTACTGCAGAACAGATTTGCATTGCACCAAAATGGTCACTTCTAGAATATTCTCTTTTAAGTACAAGAACGATGGGTATCCACTTCTACCAGCACTGTTAGGATTAAATATCTCTACTGTACTACACAGTCAATGGCGGTGAACCACAGTGCCAACACCAAATTAATGGGTTACATTGATCTTGATATGGATAACTATGAGAAATTCAGAAGATACATTACAGAAGTTTTGAAATGCTTAATCAAAGAATTTTAAAATTGTCTATTGCTTGCGATAACCAGAGAATCAAACGAGACTTTTATAAACAGATCTTTTAATCTTGTTGTGGATAAGTGATTGGACCTCTAAGACATGCAAATATGAGAAAACCGAAGCTTGTCCAACCAAGGTATTACTAACAGGTTAGAAAACTTAATAAAACGAGAAAAAAATACAAGATGCCATGTAGGATGAAGGTATTCTTATATGGTATGGAATGATAAAAACGCAGTAGGCCCCACAATGATGAATCCAAACCCTGGGATACACAGGTTTTGAGTACCAATATGTCATTCAATTCTGTGAAAAAGGTGTCAAATAAAGCTTTTACCAAATGGCATGTGTCAGCTTCAAAACCCTGCAAAGATGATTATTGATTCAAATCGACTCTACGAGGTAATCATGAATTCCTTCAACCCATGGTTTTTATGTGATCAGATGGGTACCTGGTGTTGGTGACTCCTATTTATGGAGTGAATTTGAGTGCTAAGTACTTGGCATTGACAGATGGCATGTCCAGAAATATTACAATTGCATTTGATGTTAAAAAACTAATGCATACATGGGAATGAGACGTGTATACTCCATTGATCTTAAAAAGAAGTGCAACAAACAGAGTAGCTTCAAGTCTTCAATTTGATTCAGAAAATCTTAAGCATCCCAAAGAAACAAACCTTGTTTGCCCCCGATACTCCATTGATCTTAAAAGCATAGCCAACAGCTCCTTTGAGCTTGAAAGTTCATTATTCGACACAATATCTACATAAGAATGTCATACAGTCCATATTAGTAAAAAAACCATTTTTTTATTCAGAAAATTGCACTAAAAAAATTATGACCAGAAATACTCAAGAATCAAAAAAAAAAAAAATTCTTGCTTTACGTTCAAAATTGCAGGTTTTCGAATTAAAATCGCTATGGAATAAGCATACTCGAATAGTATTGACATATTCGAATCTTCCAAGATAGTAAGTACACTTAAAAAGAAAAAAAAAATCTTCCATCAGTGAACAAGAGTAGTAATAGACGCCAACTAACATAAGGAGAAACGATCAGAAGCTGATTGCTTCATATCACGATTTACAGCACAGCCACCCCTCTTCTTTCCAAGTATTTAACAAAGAAAGATATCCGAGTCGGGGCCAGAATGCTTCCTATAAGACAAAATTTTCCAGGTAATACACGGGATTCATATACAAATCAACACGAAAGCACTCGATTCTGCGTCCACAGGTCATCTTGCCCCCACAAGACTCCAAAAGATGAACCACGTTCCCGCATCGGGGAGCGAGCGATTTTTTTCCCAAATTACAACACCAAACAAAGGTCCATAAACCATATCTGTCAAGAAGGATCCCACTCACCGCAGTATCTCGCGAAGACCTCGAAGATGTCAAACCGCTGCGGAGCGGAGGATTCCATGGATCCGAACAACAAGGGTTACGCGAAGTGTTGTCTTGACAGCACAAACCCAGGATCCAGTTCGTCGAATCGAGACGCAAGAGGTCCGAAACCGTCGATCTCCTCTCCGATCGCGTCGATCGGCTCGGAGAGGAGGGTTAGCGTCAGCCTGCGCTCCTCAGTACCAAGATAATATGATAGACTTTGCTGCGGGTCCCAAATTGCGGATCCCATCCAAGAAGAACATGGAGGCAGAAGGCACAGATTATATGTATGGTAAGCAAAGCTACGCGTGTAGAATACATACCAAGTATAATGTAGATATTTTTATACGGGCAAAATTGCACATATACATACTCATTAATTTATCCCTCTTATTATATTTAAATATAATGTCATATAAGAAAGAGATAAGAAAATTACACATATATATATATATATCATTGTGGCTGATCATTAATATAATAATATTTAAAATTCTAATTTACATTAATATGATTTCAAATATATTATTATATATTGTTTATTTTTCGCATCAAATTCGGTCATTGATTTGTTGCGTCAAAATTGATACGATCTGATCTATTTTACCATCTTCGAGATTAAAGATTCGAACTCGATAATTGTGTTGTAACATATTGAATTAGAGATAAACCTAAAGGAGAGTCACTTAATATGATAAGAGACTTCAACTGTATGAATTTAATTTAAGGGTAACATTCTTCCAATCAAGTTTGATTCAGATGATATTTATCATTTTGATTTAGTGCTGATGTGACAAATGTCGAGCTGGAGAACAATCACAGTATCAATATTATATTAATATTAAAATAGTAAATAGGAATCTAAATAATATAAGTTTTGCTATCAATAACCATAGTATTTATCAACTAAACTAATTGACATCTTTTAAACCATATAAAAAAAATTGTAATTAACTCAGGAGATTAAATGTGATATTTTGTATGATGATTATTCTTTAAAAAAATTAACCACGATGATTATGGAGATTATTTTGAGAAAACAGTAAAATTCTTTCATTAGGTTACTACGCTCCCTAGCAATATCTTGATGTTCATTATTTTTTTGGGTTCAAAATGGCGGTAAAATAAGCAAACAGCAAACCTTGCATTCACTGGTTCATGATCAACAACACATCTCAATCTACTTGTTAGAGTTCAACGGTGATAAGGTCAACGCAACTTTGTTGGTCAAGATCAACATAGACAATTATGAAAACATGACTTTGCAGTATCTCTAATGCTTTTTCTTCTTGACAAATCTCATCGTGTTTCTATCGCATCCTGAATTTTTTTTTTTCATCAGATTATCTTTACATCGATATATCAAAAGTCAAATAAATAAATATTTATTTTATTAATATATAAATTATAAATACTTATTATAATTTATTTATTTATAAAAAATATAAGTCAAAATTAGTCCCTTTATTGAAAAACTCAGCTCAAAATAAATCCAAACCATAGAAGAAAGTCTACTTTATACTAGAATCCCAACTAATACTATTGGAAGGTTACTCTAAAAATCAAAAAATAAATTAAATTTTTTTAACAATGCTAAATAGGAATTTTTAGAATAAATATATGATTAAATATCCGAATGAGCACTCTCCGGATGAAGAGTCTTTACCTTCTAGGATTAGTTTGTATTCTCTTGAATATATGGAGATAAACTCATATTATGCTCTCAATAACTAATGATACTCTATCTCTCACATGTCAAAGTAAGAACATATTCCTCCCATAATGGATGAAGGAATTGTTCAACCATGTATATTATTATTTCATACTGATAATGTTTATATTTATATTGATATGAAATAATACATTCAAACATCCTTTTCAAATATTATTAATGTTAAATAATATCACTTAGTCCTCAACTAACTTTAATCTTATTTTAATCGATTTAATTGAACTTAATTTAACTAGAATATAACTGAATCAATCTCTATTTCTCATTTAACCAGTTTTAAATTATCTTAGACTAATATAATTTGGATTAGATTGGATTCAATCTAGGTTAAACAAATTTAAATAAATAAAACTGATTTGGAATCATCTTCAATCGATCTAAACGGACTAATTTAATTTGGTTCAATTATTGTTTAGGTCTGAATCAAACAAAACAAAATAAGGACAATGAGTTAAACTATATAATACTTTGCAATGTCGTTGGACTAACTCATATACTAGTAGTCAATATAACGGGGTATACACCACACGAAGCTAGCCCATAGCTCATGTGCATTATACATAACTACTCATGTTGGGTTGGGTCAAATATATTTTAATTATAGCATCATAGAAGAATTATAACATCTCATTGAATTATAGTATCTCAACCTAAATCCTCACCAATTCTCTCAATATTGAATTATTGGATCATGGAATTATAATCAAATATCTAATCATCATTAAACACATAATAAATAGTAACAAACTAAACAGATAAAATTGTATAAATCTACTGAAAATCACATATAAAATTACATAAGGAAGAAAATAATACTTTAATCAACTAATATATAAATATATTGAAAATCACATATTATAAAATTTTTAAAAACTATGCATAGTATAAATAATTATAATATATTTTAATCTTAAAATAAAATTTTTAATGTAAAAAAATCTAGAAACTGTATATAATATGAATAATCATAACATATTTTAATTTAATAAATTTTAGATATTTAAAAGAATAGAAGAAAATATCAGAAATTACATATATCATAAATAATTATAACATCTTTTAATACAAAAAATAAAAATTCTAAATATTAAAAAAATAAAAATATTTTTATCAAGAAAGACAAGAAATCTATCTCTTCTCAGCAGCATGAAATTCCTTGTTTCTTGTATTATTAAGTAGAAGGAGGTGAATCCTTTAAATTTTTATTTTTAAATTTATTTAATATATATTTTTAATTTAATTTATTAAAAAATAATCTCACCTTATTGAATAATTATTTTCTAAATTTTATTAACAAAAAATATATATACCTAAATTAATAATTTGATTACAGTTTTTCCTTGCTAAATGACAAGCAAAGAGACTGTTGTTGGTTCACAATCTCTTGGACTGTGAAGTTCTGTTTCTTCCCTCAGTTACGCAAGCCCAGTAAAAAAAGAGAGAAAGAAAGAGGAAAGATAGGAGAAATGGCTCCAAATCGTTCATCGGCTGATCACTTCCTCAGCAAGACATCATAAGAGAATGAACTGATATATTATTACTCACTAAACAGAACAGTTACACTGGTGTTTCAGTGGCTGAGTTATAGGGTGTTATTCTTAAGAGAACATAAGCCTAAATCTGCATGCAATCAGCTCTAACATAACTCTGCACTGCTCATGCAATCAGCCTATAACTTTCAGCCATTAGCGAAATCCTTCTCCCTGGAGTCAATTAATTTCTCCCCCATGATGATGCTGGATTGGCCTCTTATTCATGGAAATAATACATAAAATATCTGTTGGATGACAAGAAAGAATTTGTGTAGAGAAGAGAGGAACAATGAAATGGAGGAGGACAAATGTGATGTCGAAGCTATGTTCAGCTACTTTGCTGCTGGAATGTGAGTGCCCACAAAACCAAAACCCATCAAGAAGAATGAGAGAGAGAGAGGAAAAATGAATATGAAGTACTGGTTTGATCTGTAGATGAAGTTGTAGCATGCACATATCAAGAGGGCTACTGCCATTCCCAGCTCCAAGAAAAGAAACCTGTGAGCAACAAGAGAAGTAGTGCAAGACTGCAAGTTAAGCATGAGTCTCGTCGCAAAGAAAAAAATTGAGTTCATGGTAATGATGCTGTCATCAGAATTACCTTTGCCAGAACTTATTTGAACTTCTCTTGGCAGCTGTTGAAACTTGTTTGGTCTTTAATGCTTTCCCTAATTTCTCTGTGACGACCCACTCATTCACTCTCCCTGCTTCAAATAGACCGATGAAGACAGCCTTGCATCGATGCAAGGACATGACGTTCTCGAAAAATATCCAGATGATAATGAGATGTAAAGACCTGTAAAAATTGAACCACTTCAGGATGAAGAGAGGAAGCGACCATTCGGCCATGGCTCAGTAAAGATGAACTTATGCCTGGTATCAAACCTTGGAGTTCCAATTGAATTGAGGATGGTGATGACTGTTGGGATATAGAACACCCCCCATTTTGGGATTATTACTTCGGGGAAAAAGGAAGAAAATGGAATGATGATGCAGTAGAAGAAGAAGGTCACATTGTGGGATATAATTCGTCTTGCAAAGAAGAAGTTGTAGAGCAGAAATAGTTTCTTCAGCAAAGACACCTTCTGCAGAAAGCCACATAAAGCAAATGAGAAATCATACGCTTTGGACATCGCTAAGCTAAATATGTGAGAATCTCGCTGCAATTTGTTCATACGATTGTATGATAATTAGTCATAGTAAGAAAAGACAGATACACAATCATGGCACTCGTCATCCATTTATGATCAGTAGATTGAGCTGACCTTTGCCATTATAATATCTATTGTCATTTTCTTGAACAAATTTGCAGGTCCACAGGACCAACGATGTTGCTGATACCGATACGCCTTATAACTGCTTGGTAGTTCACTTTTAACCTGGCAAACACATATACAGAAACATGTTAATCACTAACGATTCAATGTTATTCACAGCTTACCTTCTGAAGAAAATATGTTTTAGCGATTGGAAGACCCGCAAATTCTACTGATACTTTGTTTTCGCCTCCTAAATTTTATTTGTCTTGTGTTATAAACTTAGTATTGCATGAATGTGAAAATTCAATCAAGATTCAGAGATTTTGTAATTTACAAGAGCCTAATAGAACTTCATTTAACCAATTATGTTATGCCATATCCTAAATCAGTAACTTTGTGCATTTTGTGTGCATTGTCAATTCATCCTCTTGAAATCCAATTCAGAATGTGATTTTTCATTCTTGAAAGCAGCCAAGAAAACATATACACAAACCTTAAGGTCTCCAAGATACACAAATTTCCAGCCTTGAAGAGATGCTCTAACTGCTAAGTCCATGTCCTCCACAGTAGTTCGCTCTTTCCAGCCTTCAGCTTCATTAATAGCTTGGATTCTCCAAACACCGGCAGTTCCTAATGCAAAAGAAATCAGTAAATCATGACTATCACTCGTTACTCTTCTTCTACTGCAAGAACATAAACAAAACTCACCATTAAATCCGAAAAATGCC